GGGAGGGGGGGAAATGAGGAGCTGATACCAAAGGCTCAAGTAGAAAGAAAAATATTTTGAGAATGATGAGGGCAACAAATGTACAAATGTGCTTGACACATGGATGGATGTATGGCTTGTGGTAAGAGTTGTAAGAGCCCCCAATAAAATGATTTTTAAGAAAAAGGCAAAAGATCTTGATATTTTAATGAATTGTATAGCAAATCCTTTAAATAAGAACTGTTCCTTAATTTGTCTCTTTAGAACATTCAAATTCTCAAGCATTGCTAACATCCCCCTAATACAAAAAATTAAAAAGGCAGCGTCCCTTCTAACTTGAATTGCTGCACAATTATCTACAATAACAACTTACATAATATTCTGATGGTGCAGCATCTCAGAAAACCACCGTATGCTTGCTCACTCTGCTCTGATGACCGGCATCCTTTCTTGAGGTTTTGTTTTCTCTAGGTGGAAACTGGTCCACCTATGTCAGACTCCCCTGCAAGGCTTATGGCCATGCCGATTTCACTGATGCTACCTTTTCAGTCAAAAGACCCATTCTTCAGTTCCACCTGACCTGCTAAATCAGCACCTCTGGGGGGTAGCGGAGGGTGGGGGTTGGAAGGAAGGCCTAGAGATCTGCATTCCCACAGGTTCACAGGGTCATTTTTATGCAGACCTAAGAGGGGAAACCAGTGGCTCAGCGTTTCTATAGTAACCCCTTACAAGTCAAATTATTCAATTAGTGAAAAAAAAAGACAAAACAAAAACCCATTCCCAGACAAGTGGAAATTCTTAGGCGTTTACTCTTTCAGAGGTACTAGCACTAATTGTATTTGTCACAATATGAGCTGATTCATAATCTCCTGTCTTTTGATATTTTTTCAGCCTATCTTCTTTCCCCCTCACTTTCTAGAATTAAAATTCATTTTAGAGAAATAACCTAAGAGAATGATTAAGAGTCATTTAAAGAAAAAAGGATAAAACAGACACACCGTCTGTTAGGGTTGGCTTGCCCAGCAACGTTTCCACATTAGCCGCTAATGAAACACACACCTGTTCCCATTGCTTCCGCTTTGAAAGTACCAGGTACTTAGGGAGGGAACAACCAAACCAAACCAAAATAATCATGCATCCTTTTTTCCTTTGTTATTGTAGTCCAACCTAGACCCCTACAGTCAGAAACCCTACAGAAAAGACCCATAACCACAGTTCAGGAATAAGAGTTCTTTCTCAGAGGGAACTAATCACAATGATCTACATGTAACCCCATCATGTAACACCCAACAAAAGAGTGGGTGAATGGAGACACCGGACAGTGTAAGACATGAAAAAATAATAATAATTTATAAATTATCAAGGGTTCCTGAGTGAGGGGGAGGGAGGGGAAAATGAGTAGCTGATACCAAGGGCTCAAGTACTAAGAAACTGTTTTGAGAATGATGAAGGCAACAAGTGTACAAATGTGCCTGACACAATGGATGGATGGATGGATGGATGGATTGTGATAAGAGTTGCACACACCCACAATAAAATGATTTAAAAGTTATAATAATAAGGGTCCTTTCTCTTAACTGACATGGAAAATGAAAAATACTTTCCCCTCTCTAACAGTGTCTGAATCTTGGCTTGGGCATCTGCTCAACTGAGTAATTTTACCAAATGCACCTACTTAAAACACACAAAGTCACACAGACCCCATAAATTACTTTCCCAAGCCACCAAAATGCAATATTTCCCTTCCCCCCACCAACCCTTTCTTGTATTTAAAAATAAAACCCAATTCTGCTGAGGAATAGGTTTTTCTTGGCTTCACCACAGGAAGTGGCCTGGGTGAGTTCTCAGGTCATGTTTTTAAGAGTGTCTGTGGGATACCTGCCCTGGGCTGATGGGAGCCCTGCAGGTGGACTGAGAGCTTTGAAGGGGTTTCCCCCAGCAGCCTGCTGTCCGAACAAGGAGCAGCCCTGCCCCGACTGCAGCTGTGGAACCAGTGACCTCAGCTTCTAGACACACAGTGCTGGCTAGTCAAAGGCATCCATCTTTAATACGTTCCCTTCCGTATTGCTGACAGCCCTTCCCCCTTTCCAAATGGGAAAAAATGAAATAAAACAAAACAACAACCCCATCTTCCAAAGGCAGCCAACTTGTTTGTTGTTTGAAAATACGAAAAAAAGGAAAATCATCCTAAACTTTCTGCTACCAACTATTGACTTGAGCTATTTAATTGATGTGAAATAGCTATCTAGATCTCGATCTCTACATTTCCATCTCCATCTCTATGTCTACCCTTAGGGTTAGGTTTTGGAGGTCAACAGTAGTGTTGGTGGACCATACAATGGGGTGTTGTATGTATAGAACTCATTACTTTCCAATGAGGATCTCCAGTGCCCTGGGGCTTGGGGTTGGGGAGCCCTGGTGGCAAGGTGGGTTTACCAGTTAGGCGGCTAACCACGAGGTCAGCAGTTCAACCCCACAAGCCTCTCCAAGGGAGAAAGATGAAGCTTGTTGCTCCCGTGAAGAGATACAGTCTCAGAAACACGATGGAGCAGGTCTCCTCTGTCCTATGGGCTCGCTATGGGCTGGATGCCATTGAGAGTTAAGACTATGGGAAGAAACTCTTCAAACTCCTCCTTTCTGTGCATTGCTTGTCTAAAATGCTAACAAGTTACTTAAGTGGTACAAATATTCTGTAGCCAGAGTGGCGCTGGTGCTCCCCCTAGGTGTGAAGGGCAGATGGCCAGATGAGGTACACTGAGGGAGGAGGGCCAACTCCAAGTAGCCAAGGATTAATGGTGATGCATTCTACCAGTTCCCTAAACTAGTCCCAACAAAATGGATACGTGGTTTGGAAAGATTCCTATGGAGAAACCACGAATGGAAGAGGTTTCCCCCTCGATGACGTAAGCACAAGAGAGCAACAAGAAAATGGCAGAGCTGATACTTCCACTCCCAAGGTAAGCTTTTGTTGTTTTTGTTAGCCACAGTTTGAGTGTCAGATGAAAACAAACAAACAACAACAACAAACAATAGTCAGGTGCTAAGCTGATAAGTCAGTCAAAAATACTAAAAAAATAACGAGTGGGCTATTTGATGTAAGGGTTTATAGCCACTGTCTTTAATGGCAAGTTTCGCACGAAGTCCATACCATGCTTTGACATTTCAGGTAGTGTTAGACTCACTGCCAATGAGTCAATGCCAACTCCTAGGAACCCGATAGGATAGGGTAGAACTGCCCCTGTGGGTCTCTGAGATTGCAACTCTTTAAGGGGAGGAGACAGCCTCATTATTCACCCTGAGAAGTGGCTGGCGATTTCAAACTGCAGACCTTGTAGTTAGCAGCCCAACACCCATGGTGAAGATATTCAAGATGGTGTGTTTCACTTGTATCTAATTCTTTGAACTTCCATTTTACATGGGTTTTATGAACATGGATATAATTTACAGATCAATACATATTCAGAATGTATATTCACATCTTTTTTTCCCCTTTTCTGATATCCATTGCCTTCGAATCAACTGCAACTCATGACAACCTTGTGGAACAAGAGTCAAACTAAGGCTATAAAGATCTCTATGGAAACCGCTGGCTGTCACATCTCTCACACACATCCCCCCCATCAGCCAGTGGATTCACAGTGCTGATCTTTCAGTTAACAGCCAAGCAACTAACGACTGGGCCACCAGGGCACCCTTCCCTCACTCCCCATAAGTGTGCACGATGTCTACTGATCATATAGTATCAAGGTTGTCAGAGCCGTCCAATGTCAGGTAGCATCAGGTGACTTCTGTCACACACAGAAATGTAAATGCCCAGAAAGGGTAGGATTCAGCCGTGGGTAAACATTACTAGTTAATGACATCTCCTAGACCAGAAACTAAAATCCCAAAGGGTGAGATGTCTGCCTAGTTAGGGATGGAGCTGGGATTCTTCTGAGTTCTCCAGGTTCGGTACTCTTCTCAGCTGCGCCAGAATTGCCTCTCACAAATGAAGAGGGAGGGAGGGAGGTCAAGGAAAAATGGAGCAAACCATAAAAACTCAAATAGAATAGCAACCCATCAGAGTAGGCCCCGAGTTTCTGTAGCCTGTGAGCTAGTGAGACCTACCTATGCCTTCAATACTTACAATAACTCCTGGGTAATAACCTCCGACCGTCACATTCTGGGTCCTGGTAGTGGCAGCAAGGCCCACCGTGAGGATCAACACGGACACAATGAGCAACGTCACAGTGACATAGATGGAGTTTCGCTTCCTTCGGTTGAAGGCTCCTGAAAGCACACAGAGAAATAGAAATGGCTCATTTCAGCAGGGAAAGAGAACGACTTCAAGAAAAAGAAAAAAACCCCACAAGAATACATTAGTAAGGTTTTCTGTTCCGACGCCCACTGGTAGCTGGGGTTACTTCTGAGGAATAAATTATAGGGAAAGCAGGGTGCTTGAGGTTTGTTTTGTTTTGTTCAGTCACCCTGTGCCACTTTCATAATAAAGGCGATTTCCTTTTTGAAAACACACACACCAGAAGACGTTTCACTAGTCACATAAAAACAAGACCAAACAAATCTTGTGCTTTCGGCAGTCTGTAAAAGATGGGTCGTCTCCACTCACCAGAGTGCTTTTGCAAGTCAGTTTATAAGGCAGATGATAAATGGGAAGAGAGAGTGTGTGTGTGTGTGTGTATGTGCACTCGTGCGCAGGGAGGTGGGAAGAACATATTAAAGGAAAATATTCTAAAGGCAATAGGCAACTAAGAAGAAGCATACACACATGCTGGAGATAAGAAATTTCATTTTCAGTGTAAATATCAGAGCCAAGCCAGGTCCCGGGTTTTTTTGGTTTTTTGTTTTTTTCATTTATTTCTGACATTTGCCACCTCATGGATAAACTTTAAAATGGTGTGTTGCCAAGATTTGTCACTGAACAAATGTGTGTAATAAAGTCAGTGTTTGGAGGCCATTAGTCCACACAGATAAGTATCTGCGGGGAGCGCGTTGGGGAGGATGAGAACTTACTCCCATTTAGGCTCAGGTGGCACACATATAAATGAGGAGAAGCCCAAATTCCGACTCAGTGCTTATCACACATGATAGCACAAACCAATCTTTTTTCTCTCTATCCAAAATAGGCTTATTAAGTCAGATAGGAAAACAGTATCTAGTCTGGCTTTTTGATTTAATTATTTAGAGGCATGAGTCTGCATGTATGTAATTGGGAGTGGGTGGGTCACACCAGGAAATGCCAGGGGAGAGTTACCACCTAAGAGTTCAAATTATATATATATATATATACACACATATATATGCAAATGAGGAATACTATGAGCGTCCACTCTTTAGCTGGGAACCCGAGGTAGGGGAGGGAAGGAGGAAGCAATGGGCCTGCTCACCTGCCTATGTGGCTTGGCTGTCATTTGTGAGACTCAAGAGGCCACTTGGGTCTGTTCTTAAGACCCCTCATTTCAGGAGGCCTCCTTGCAGCCTCAGGAAGCAGCTGTGGAGAAGTGGCGGAGACTGTACTGTATATACCACGGAGGGGAGAGGGGATGAAGAAAGAGAGAGGCAGGCCTGGTGGTGATGGGAGGGCAGGGCCTAGGTTGGCCTTGAGTGCCCCTCAAAAGACTTCCCTTTGTCTATAAGAAACAAAAGCCATGCGGGTGCCCCCCCACCCCCACCCCAGGCAGCCCCACCATCCATTTCACCCACCCCAGTGCCTTCCTGGCTGAGGGTTCCAAAGGCAATGGGAGGAGCTGACTGACTGTCTGCTCTGACATCAGCCTAGGAAGTGAGGGTCAAGCTCCTCCTCAGGGTCATTTCTAATGGAAAAACATTAGGAGACTATCTTATACTGAGATGTAGACAGGGCAGGGGTGCTTCCTGGCACCCACTGACTAAAGAGCCACCTCTCACTCTGGAAGGAAAGCTTAGGAGAGTTGAACAAACAGGCTTCTCTCCAGCGGAGGCAGGGGTGGGGGGTGGAGGTGAGGGTGGGGGTGGTACTTACCTCAGCCCTACTGGGGAGGAAACAAGAGGCTGTGTAAACTGAGTGCTATTAGGGATGCAAATGGTGAGCTGAAGGGCAATAAATACAATGGGTGAGCCAGAGATCAGGCCTGTCTGGTGCTCAGAAAGGAAGAGAAAAGGGGTGGGGGCAGGGGAAGGTAGTATTTGTTTCTTCTGCTTATTTGTTTACCAGAACAATGGCCTGTTAATGATCCTTCTTCTTGGAGGGGAAAGACCCTAAAATCCTATTTCTCAGTACATGGCCACATGCTTACATAAACCCTAAACACCCATTGCTACCACATTGATTCTAACTCACTCACCTATAGGACAGAGTCAAACTGCCCCATAGCATTTCCAAGGCTGTCATCTTATGGAAGCAAACTGCCACATCTTTCTCCAGCAGGGTGACCGGAGGGTTGCAGTAGGTGAACACTGAGCCAAGGAACCACCAAGGCTCCATTGATCTCTGAGGGGCTATAACAAAAACTTCTTGACACCCCTCCCCATCTCCCTTTCTGCCCTGTCGCCCACACCATCTCCCCTCCCCATCTTCCTGGGCAAAGGAGCAAGCGTGCAGAGAACCAGAACATCTGCACCCAAGTTATCTTTGCAACATGCACCCTTGTCCCCACATCTTACGGGAATCCATGTAACCTTGGGATGCAATTAGGGGCAGGCAGGTGTGTGTGGTCTTTGAGATTTTGTTTACATTGCTCTCTTGCTCCTCCCCTGTCAACTGGCCTTTGTTTTTGTTCACAGCTCCTGGGTATCCTTCGCAAATATCACTCCAACTCTTAAAAGCACAGGAGCTGGATCAGAAAAGTGACTCAGCAAACCACGTGGTGTCGTTTGAAAACCTCCCCCACCGACCTTTCCCTGCTTTAGGGCCTGAAGGGAAAATTCAGCCCGCTGAGAAAACTACACTAAGCTCCTACAGCCCCACAGGGGTGTTATCTCCAGACAGGTTTCTGTTTTGGATAGAATTCGAGCAAAACTCTTCCAACCCCTGGTTGGGCTCTCTAGTCTCTGTCACCTTCCCCCAGACCACTACTTCTGTTGCACTACCAGATTCACAATTGTGTAAAGCAACATTCATGTTAGTTGTACTCAGGGAGTTGGCTATTTAAAGGAACCCCAAGGGCGGGCTGAAAGGGGTGGTAGTTGTTGCATTTGAAAATTAAAGAATCACCCTTGATTACTCTTTTGTGTCCACGTGACTCAGTAAAATTCACATCTGCTTAGAGCATGACACACCTGTTCTCTTGAGAGGTCTGGCCCAAGTCCTTAAGAGGCAGCCGCAATATTAAAGCCTAAGGGGTCTTCTTAGGCCCCCTCCCCTAGAGATGGTCCCTATTTTCGAAGGGAGAAGGGAAGGCCTGTTCTTCTTAGGGTACATTGTGTGCCTTGCCTCAGATGTTCTCCTGAACACCGAACCATTCTATTGCTGTTTTATTTAGTAAACCAACACATCAAAAGAACTCAGAAGAGGGGCTTAAAGAAAGCAGCAGGCACTTGGAACTGGCTCCTAGAAAAGCATTCTATACCCAGGAAGCAGTTGATACTTGTTGAAGGAACAAGAGGTATTGTCTCATGACAGCTTCTCTTCTATTGAAATAGATGGTGGTGGGGAATGGGGTGGCTGACTAGCAACTGTGCTCCTAGCATGGATTCTTTGAAACAGGGTGTACCTGAGAGCACCCCAGAACCCAAAGCCTTTTAGTCAACTAGTGTCACAATGCCACTGTCTCTTGGAGTGCGTGTCTAGTGGGCACTTAGTTTGTTTTTGTTGAAACAGCAACACATCTGGCAACCACCAGCTGTGGGAGTCTGAAATACCTTCATCGGCATCCACTGTCCCCTCCAGCAACACCCCCCCCCCACCGCAGCAAGCACCCTGCAGAATCACTGCAGTGTCACAGTGCCACTCTAGTCGGATGACTAGGAGGCTGGGCTTCAGAAGTGCCCAATTATTTCCTGTCACCACCCCTCCAAGTACAACCAGCTTCTCACTCTGCTAGGTTCCCTCCTCTCCCAGGTCTGCCCCCACCTTCCAGCTGCACTGCAGTCTTTGAATCTGAGCCCCTCCCTTTTTTGACACCTGCTCAGAAATCTCCCCCTCCGGGAAGTTTTGCTTGATTAAGCGCCTTGGAAAACCAAACTCACTGCCATTGACTTGACTGGGATTCCTAGGGATCAGGTTTCAGTGACTGTAAACCTTTAGGGAAGCAGACTGTCTCGTCTTTCTCCCCAGGAGCCACTGATGGTTTGAACCTTAGACCCTGTGACTAGTAGCCCAAAGCTTACCTCATAGCACCACCCAGGCTCCCCCACTCCAACCACTCCTGCCCCCCAAGTTCATAGGCAACTTATTCAACCAGTTTATCCACTGTAATTGCTACAATTACCATTGTGTTTGTGAGTCAGCTCCACAACCCATAGGATGCCCAATGGCCTAGGCTGTCCAGAACCTGATAGGAGCCAAGGTGTGGATTTCCAGATGGTAGTAAAATCATTTCTGCTTCTGGTTACAGATTCCTGATTATGCCTCTCAACAGAGTGGGAGGGATGTGTAATTCCTAATGGGGTGCGGCAAGGATAGTGACCCAGTATCCTGTCCTGTACACTATCCTATTGATGGCCCTCCAATTCTCAGGGCTGATGTGTTGAATGGATTAAGATCCCCTTACTTACCTTGGCTTTGTGAGACAAACAGGCCCCCAGAAAGTTTCAGCGTTGAGTATTTGTCCCAACAGGTGGCTGCCCACATCACAGACTTAGATTGAGCTTCAAGACCCTACCTACCCAAATCTGCAATGAATCTTTCAGGACACTGAAGCCCTGTTCCCATCTTCCCTGGACTTAGTCAAGTCTTTGAATGGGGGCACTTCAGGCTGATGTCGAATTACAAACGCGTTCTTTGGTAGGGGGAGGGGGGCCCTACTGCAGTGGAGGTGCCTTAGCTCTCCAACACATAGGTAAAAAGGGAGAAGGGGGTTGCAGTCAGGGGGAACGACGGGCCTGGGCATCCAGTTACTTTCTTCAAAATTGCCAAGCTCAAGCGCCTCACTCCCAGCTTTAGCCAAACCCCTCCATCCCTAAGTAATGGGCAAGCTTGGAGGGCAGGCACCTGGAAGTCCTGTGTGTTTGTGTGTATTTCTGGTTTGGCTGTTTTGGCTGAGATGGCTCCTTGTCTGTACAGGGAATCCCTTCAGAAGTGCTGAGCTGGGAGGCTGAAACATTAACCCACCCCTTCACCCCAACCCCAGGGAAGCTGGCCTTGCCAGAGGTGAGTTAAGTGGGAGTCAAGTAGCCTAGAAGCTGATTCAGGCTTGGGCTGGGCGGGCCCCGAGCCAGAGAACTCCAGGGAGACTCCTCTGTCAAACTGGGGAAGGCCAGGGTTCCACTGGACTCCAACCAGTACCAGTGCCTCAAGGCTGCCGACCTTCAACAAGCAGAATGTGTGGCTCAGGCTCTGTGAAGACACGGGGTCTAAGGTGCCTTCCTAGACAACACTGGGCTGCACTGCTCCTGGCGCACAGTTGTTGCAAAGCGACAGATTGGCTGAGGTACTCTTGGGCACCCATGAAAGAATTCGATTCACCTTGATCCCCAACTTCTGAAGCAATGTGCCAGGGGGCGGCGCTTTGAGGCCTGGGCCACTGCTCTGCCCACCATACGGCAGGTCTTCGAGCCCAAAGCAGGGAAGCCCCTCTTTTGCAGGTGGTTGGGGGCTCCCAGTGGAAGTGGGCACTGTGGAACCCTCGCACCCTCCCACCCAGCCGGCCCTCCAGCCCCAGCTAGGAGGCAGTTGTGCTGGCGCCACAGCTGGCCAAGGTGAGGAGCGCAGTCTGTGCAGGTGGGCTTGGACGCAAGTGCTGGTGCGTACGTGTGTGTGTGGGTGGGGGGGGACGGTGTTAGATAGGGGCCAAGGCAGGGGCGGGGTGGGGGGGGAGTCCATCACGGCTGCCCTTGGACCAAGGTTTTTGGCTTCATTCATACCACGTTGCAAATAACTACGCCCTTAAAAATAAAAGAGAGCAAATTATTATAGTGAATATGCAACACTCTGGAAAATAGGGCTCTTGGTCACCATCCTGGAGAAAACACTTCCTGGGACCTCCAGGAATCGAATTCTCTTCAGATTGAGTCTTTTGCAGGCAGCTCGTGTGTGTGTGTGTGTGTGTGTGTGTGTGTGTGTGTGTGTGTGTGTGTCTCGCTCTCCTCGTCGGCCCCCACCCCAACTCGCCCCCCCTCCTCGACATATTCCCAAAAATTCTTCAGGAGTCGACGTGACCAGGCCATAAATCCAAGTCCAGGGAGAATGCAGGATGTCAAGTATTGGGGGAAGCTAGGGGTGCAGGGAGAGGTCTTGAAGTGGATCCGAGAATTCGATTTGGTGAAAGTGTGGCTGAGGCGAATTGTGAGATTAGATGGGATCGCAATTTCCCCACCCCTCCTGCTCTCCTGGGCTCCAAATGAATCGCTCTGCCCAGTGAAATCATAGGGCTTGGGAAGGTGCCCAACAGCTGAGGGGCGCGCGGGCGATTCTGTGTTTGTGACTCCCCTGGAAGTGGCTTCCAGGAGTGGCCAAGTTGGTGTCTGGAGGTAATGGTTCCCTATGCCCCCTAGTTTGGGTGGCGAGTTCCACATTGAAGGGGCCCCGGAGCGAAAGCGCGACTTGGAGAGATGCGCGGCTCCGTTGGGCTTTTTCTTTCTCCAGCTCTCACTGCCCCCTCTTTTTTTCCTCACACACACATGACGCGCATCTGGGGCCGGATAGGAATTCAATCCAAAGGATGTAGATCCCGCTTCTGTAGACTCCACTCCTCAGGAATTCCCTTCCTTCCTGGGACCCTCCCCTTTCCCTGGTCCCCTGATCACGTAAGCCCCCGCCCCCCCCCTTCAGCAAGGTGCAAGTCAGTCAGTCCCCCACACCCCCCAGCACTGCAGCTCTGAATTTCTGGAGAGCTTCAAGTGAGTTAGGGAGTGGTGGAAGGAAGCCAGGATTCTGGTGCCTCTAATGATCTGTTTAAACCTGAGCCCTTAGAAGTGACAGCGACTTTGCAAAGAGGGAGCATCCACTGGGCAGGAAGGTGCAGGTTGCAGGGAAGTGTTTGGAGCTCCAGACAGCTGAGGTTTATGGCCAGCTGCAAGTCTAGAAACACACGCACATAAACACGCACGCACACACCCGCACTCCTAGCCCCTGAGGGGTACTCTGTCTCCGTCTGGGCGCCCGGGGTCCCTGCACCCCACCTTCCCTGTCAGGCCGCTTCCCTGGGGCTCTGCTTCACCGCCCCACCCCAGGCTGGGGCGAGTACCCTTCCCAGCCCCCTGGTTCAGCTTCCCGCCCAGGGGGGTATCAGGGGTCGCACAGTCCTGAGGGTTAGACTTACCCATGGAATCGGGCAGGGACATGTCGCTGGACCGGTGCTGAGTCAGGGACTGATGCATGGTGCGGGCTGCCGGGCTCCCCCGGGCCCCTAAAACTCCTTCGCGAACCCCCACCCTTTCAGGGCGCCCCGCAGAGCATCCTACTCCGCCACTGCCTCTCCCTCAGTCCCTTCAAGAGCTGATCGAAACAGCCTCTGGGAGCGAGCTGCAGCCCAAGGGCCGCCTCCCCCTCCCTGCCTCTCAGTTCCCTCCCTCCGCTCTTGCCTCCTCCAGCTCTGGGAGGCAACAGCAGTGGCGCTTGGTGCAGCACTGTGCGCTTGCGCAAGACCCCCCTCCTCCCTCCCTTTCACCCCCCCTCCCACATCCTAGTTATCCACCTCCCAGCCTCCCAAGCCAGACAGGGAGCCCTTTTACCCCCTTGGGGCCTGGACTGCGCAGAGAAAGAGGGGGCGGCTTCAGCCTGGGGCTGACTGGTCTCCCTAGTTTAGTTTGTGGCAAGCATCCTGTTGTAGGATTCCTAACTGGGCAGGGGGCAAAGTCAGAGGTACAGAGCTGAGGAGCACACACACACACACACACACACACACACACACACGTGCAGGTCTGGTGCTTCCAGAATGACATAATGATGCTGGAGATGATCCAGAAAAGGGCCACTCTATAATCAAGGGGATTGGGTGGGGGAGGAGAAGAAGGGGGCTGCCATAAAAAGATAGATGAAACAAATACAGGCTCTTTAGTCTAGAAAGATGAAGGCTGGGAAGTGATGTGACCAGCGTGTATAAAATGATGTAGAGATGAAGCCAGAGAACACAGCCTGATTCACCAGATCTGAGAATTCTAGAACCACCAGCCCGCCCGCCTCCCCCCAAGAACTCAAAGGCGATACGGGAAAGCAAAATGCCACTGGGCAGCAACACCACACTCTGTACTTTAACAGGTGTTTGTATCTCCAAGATCGCCTTTTCTAATTCTTGCAGAAATAGGACATAGGGAGAATGAGTGTCAACAACTCTGTTTTCTAGAGGAGGAAACAGGTTCACAGAAAGAAAAACCAATCCCCGTGGTCATTCAGCCAATAAGGGGTGATATTTGAGACTAGCTTCTCTGGGTCACTGGAGGAAGATGAGGCACTCTACACTCAGAAAGATGTATGGGGAGGCTTGGAAACCCACAGGAACCCACTCTGTCCTATAGGGTCGCTATGAGTCAGCATCCACTTGCTAACAGTGGGTTTTGTTTGGTTGTGTTCTCAAGGCCAGTGTTCCTCCAGTTACAGCAGCTGAGAAGAAATGCCACCGTATACTGTAGGAGCTTTAGTGGCATGGTGCTGCTGATAGCAAAGTCAGTGGTTTGAACCCACCAGCCACTCTCGGAGAAAAAGTGAGGCTGTCTACTACTACAAAGATTTAAAATCTCGAAAGTGCCAAGAGGTAGTTCTATCTGTCTTAGAGAATCACTATGAGTCGGAATTAACTTGATGGCAGAGAGTTTTATAGCATAATGTAGACTGAAGAAATGAGTTTACTCCCAGAAGGCACAATAGGCTCAAAACACAAGTAGCTTTCAAGAGTGAAGGTAAAGTCGTGTCTGAGAGGTTGCTGAGGGAAAGTAGAGATGAGGTGAGAATATTCCCAATCTTGGAGGAAAGTCAAGTGCTTCCCCAACTCATTCTTCTGGACCCCCATCAGGAGATTTAGCTGGAAGTACCATGCAGTTAACTTCAAAACAACTGGAGAAATTAGGCTTTTTTGAAGGATGAGAAAGAGAGTAGCAGAGGACTCTAGGAGTTCTCTCTGGAAACTGCCCTATAAGGCTCAGCATCTGAAGGAATTTACAGGTTTGGAGGTGCCCGGGCTGTCCCCATGATGGAGTCCAACCCCCTCCCCTCTGAAAATTACCAGGCTCTTCTTTTTCTGGCTCCCCTACCCTGTCCCAAACCAACCAAATTGAGTATACAACTTTGCTGAGAGTCAAAGAGAGCCCCTTGCTTCTTTCCAGCTCTGGCTTCACAATCTCTTGTGAGGACTGTTTCCTCATCCAGGAAATGGAACTGAGGGCCCTGGCCCTTTCCCACCTGCCAGAGGAAGAAAAGACGTTTCCTGAAGGTTGAAAAAGGAAGCCCTTTGTAAAGAACTTGGGCCCCCCAGGGGACAGGCTTAATGTTGCCTCAGGGATTCTTAGCAGCCCTACCCCATAGATGTTTTGTAGAAATCTGTGATAATATGTCCTAGATGCCTACTGAGGTAAGGGTGTGTGCCTTAAACTTGCTAAACTTATGTGTCAGTCTCTGTAAGAACCCCAGGAGCAGAGTGAAGACCCATATTTACACTCTTGCAATGCTCATCTTTCAGACTTGTTTTCCTATTTTTCCCTCCCCCTACTCTAAATAGCAGATCTATTTAATGTGAAGAGCCCCCTAAGACACACATCCATTTCTCAAGAGTGCTTTGTAAAGAGAACTTATTTTGTTCTTGTGAAAGTAGGTTTGCAGAAAAGATGGTTTAATATCCTTAGAGATAGTTGGCTCTCCTATAGCAACCATACGGCTATATGGTGTCTACAAGATATCTACAGCAACAACACACTCAATGCCAGTGAGTCGATTCTGACTCTTGTGACCCTATAGGACAGAGTAGAACTGTTCCATAGGATCGTCATGCTGTTCATCTTTGCAGAAGCCAGCTGCCACTTCTTTCGAACTGCTGAGCATTTAACCACTGTGCCAGGGCTCTGGGAGTGTCTAGAGAAACCAAGTTGAAATGGATTACCAGGTTGGTTTCAATGGACAGAATAAGACTTTTTCCCCTTAGAGAGAAACACACTGTCCATCAACTGAACACAGGGGACATAGGTAATTTGGCGCCTCTGTACAAAGCCAAAAACTAATGAGTTTCCCTGAAAAGGGGAGGGGGCTTTTCTTTATGCAACATCTACAGTCTTGGGCCCTGCTTGAAAATGGGACCTTGTTTGTTAAAAAAGTGCTAGAGGAATTGGTTATTTAAAAGAACTACACACTGGATATATCTTTTGTACCATTCAGGTGCCTTATGGGACTTGGGACACAGCAGGCACTCAGTCAAGTTCAGAATGACTTGGAGACCAGTAGCAGTGACAGTAGCAGCTCCGAGCGTAGCAGCAGTCTTCTTCCTAGAGAGGGTATACTTGCTTGGACAGAGAAGCTGGGATAAGGGTAGGAACTAGAATGGAATCCAGGAAAAGGAAAACAGCAAACAGCAAAACCCACATTTCAACTAAGAGCAGCACATAGGCCCCTTTCCCTCCAAAGAGAAAGGAAGTTTATTTTAAACGCAGAGTGAGCTGGACAGCTAAAATAAAAAAATTTAAGAAAGCGCCTTTCCCCCCTTTTTCATATGCATCATTCTGACTTTATCTGTCAAAATCCATGTGGATTATATACATAAATCAGCTCATAGTCAAATCTACTGGTAGGCAAGCCACCTGATGAATTCTTATTGAGGATAAAAAGAGCTGAGGATTTTCTTTCTCCCAAGAAGCTTGACCACTGTCAGCCAGCTAGCTCGTCACTTTCTCAGGATAACAAGAACATTGCCTGGGGAATGACACAGAGATTTGTCTTTACTTTCTTATTATTTTCTTCCTATTTGATGGCTGTCTTTAATTACCAAAGACTATATCATAAGTAGCGTTTTATATTACCAATAAAAAATATTTGTGACATGACGTCAGCTAAAATGAACATAGTTTTTTACTGTGTTCCCTGTTTGAGAGCATTTTAAAGGTTTCTACTTTTTTCAGAATGATAAATAACACAATAAACCATCTATTCATCTTCATTATCATGGGACACAGTACTATAGTGGCATTATTTGTTCCAAAGACCCATATTTAAAATTTTTTATTAGCAGATATACAGTAAAACCCCCAAATTTGACATCTGTATCCCAATGAATTTCTATAGACATGTGGATAAGTTAAAAAACAAAAGAAAACATTGCTACTGCGGCTCCAGTTCATACATGCATGGGCTTATTCCAAACAAAACCGTGCCTCTGCAACCCGCGAATGTCTGCAGACGAGTTCCCTTACGAATGCACTTGTCTTTGTCTAATTGGGGTTAGGTATCATTGAGTAGGTTCTGACTTATAGTGAACTATGTGCCACAGAATGAAACATTGCCTGGTCCTACACCATCCTCCCAATGGTTCGGTTTGTGCCCTTTGTTGGAGCCAATGTGTCAGGCTTTTACAGAAAGCCTCATTTTTCTCCTATAAAGCAGTGAGTAGGTTCGAACTGCGGACCTTGTGGCCAGGAGAAACCCACTACAATATGCAATCCACTACACTACCAGGGGTCCTGTCTTTTTCTTTCGTTGTTTTTAAGTGATCTTGCTGGGCCAGCTAGATTCAAGGCAAAATGGTCGACTCAAACATTTATGACAACTGTATTTTGGGATTACAAAAGAGGTGGTCTTGATTATTTTCTTCTTGGAGGATGCAGGTCAGTCGTGGGAGGTCATTAAGAAGAAATTTTAAGGGCAATGAGAAATTGCATTGGTAAGAAAAAGGTCAAGAAGGTTGCTTGCACCAAGGGATTCCCCACCCCCCCATCATGACAATACACCTCTTTACAGCCCTGGGTCTTGCCCCCTCAGACTTTTTTTCAATGTTCTCTAAGTTTAAAAGCAACACTATTTTTGTTCCTGGAGGATGCCAACATAGTTGGTTTGGTATCTTGTAAATAGAAGGGAGTAGAATTATTTGGGAAAAGATAAGAGATGAAGGATAAACCTGGAGATATTAGCTTCACATTTTGATATCTGTGTTCAATAAAAGTTTCTGTGATTGTGGCAATTTTTTTTACTTACTCTCATATACTCATAAAGCATTAAGTCTCAGAAACCCACAGTAGCAGTTCTACTCTAATGCACATGAGCATTTCTTCATATGGTTGCTGAGTACCTAGATATCTGCTTTAGTAAATTATCTATTCGTATCCTATGCTTGTTCTTATTGCGTAACTTGTACTTTTCTTATTAGGATATTGTAGTTTCTATAGGTTTTTAAAATTAGCTCTTTAGAGACGTCGGACAGTGTGAGACATGCCAAAATAATAATAATTTATAACTTATCAAGGGTTCCTGAGAGAGAGAGGGGGCGGGAAGGGAGTGGAAAAATGAGGAGCTGATACCAAGGGCTCAAGTAGAAAGAAAATGTTTTGAGAATGATGATGACAACAAATGTACAAATGTGCTTGACACAATGGATG